GAATTACTGTATTTCTTTCAAGTATCAGTGAGTACTGACTAAAACATGAGCAGGCTCTTCTGTAAACACCGTGTCATGTAATCAATTCAAAGATTAACTGACTGGATACTGTCCAGTAAAAGGAGACAAATAAGTAGGTTTGAAATGTTTTTTCAGAAAGTGGTTATCATTTTGGAATAAATCCACATTTGATGTAAAGGAGATGGGACAGACAGAATCCAGAAGAGGAAGAAAGGAATGAAAGAGGAAGAGAGGAATCAAGGGATGACTTAGAGATTTTGACTCCGGGCGGTGGAAGTTGATGAGGAGGAAATCCCTCTCCGCCTTAAGAGGCTTCCTCTGAGGGTCTTTAAAAACACATGGGGCTGTCGTGGATCTTCAGCTCAGGACTGATAGAAAACAGATTCCCCAGCTGTACAGTTCAAAAAGTATGTATCGCAGAGTGATATACTGTATATGTCTCCGGGGGGAACATCGCAACTTGCCACTTGGAAATTAAAGATGACTTATTGTATGCAGTTTTTAAAAGCGTTAAGCATTTTGTCAATCAAGGAGTAACATCATACTGTTTAAAGAGAAACCACACAAACCCAGGGTACGTTATAGGTTACTGTGTTTGATGAAATAGAATACTTTCTTTTTCAATTAATAGACTATAAAATGTCAGTGAACAAAGACAAATGTCCATTGCAGTTTGTCAGAGACTAAGACATTTTGTCTGGAGAACAGACAAAAAAACAAATGATGACTGTTTTTGAAACACTGATCTTCTGTCTCCTTGTCTCCACAGTGACTTGCCCTTGCAGTGGGGCCAGCTCTCCAGACCTTACTCCTCCACTGACCGAAGTAGTTCCCTCGGCTCCATGGAGAGCTTGGACACACCAACACCCACCACACAGCCGTACTCCGACTCCCATAATTCACCTGTGGACCCCACCCTCTTCAACAACAAGAGAGACTCAGCCTACAGCTCATTCTCCGCCAGCTCAAACACATCCGACTACGCGGCGGTGCCACTAAGGCCCGGTGAAGCCTGCTCCATGGATAACCTCCTCCAGAGCCTGGGGCCGGGTTGTCGAAGCTACCCTGTTGGTGACACCTCAACCCTTGGGAGTTCATCTGGCGATACCCCGGATGAGGCACAGCTTATTGTACACAAGTCCAGGTCGCTGACCAGGCCAAGACCAAGGCCTGTTGAGGTAAAAGAAAGGCCTTCCTCCTGCTGTTATGATGAGGAGCGGAGGGGAGGAGACTTTGAGATCATAAGGAATGGAGAAAGAGGAGCTGAGAGAAAGATGAACCCTCCTCAGCCTCCAACCAGGAAGGATAGTTTTAGGGCAACCCGGAGTCGCCCGAATATCGTAAACAAACGTTGTGCTTCTGCCCCTATTGAAATTTCCAGTGCTTCTTGTTACTATGACGAAAATAAGTCCTCTCTGAATGTTGAATCAGGAATCCATAATGGCTTCCCTGCAGAGGAAGACAGTGACAAAACTGGGAATTTCAAAGAGGATACTTTAGACTCGCATTATATCCAAAGACAGACTAAAGACATTAGACATATCAAATGTGATACTAGTGCTAATAAAGACAATTCAGAGTCCACCTCAGATCACCTCCCTGACCCAGTGACTGCCCCCCTTGTCCCCATCACTTCCTCTTCTCCTGACTCCTTACCTGCAGAAACCTCCATAGAGGTTCAAGGGCAGTCTCATACAATGCAATCCCAGACCAAGCACTCCTCTACGGGGTTGCACCGGCACAGTGCCCCCGAGAAGCTTCTTGCTACACAGCTTCAGTTATTGCAGTTTGACAGTGAAAGCTCTTCTTTGGAGCCTTACAATCCGTCGAATCCTCCAGATCGCTCATTGTCCCCTTGTAGCAGCCAGTGGTCCCATTCATCACTCCCCCCGAGGGGAGAAGACCAAGAAGCTTCTCACAACCACCTCCACGCCCCATCAAACAAATGGGAGGGCAGCCGTTGCTCAACCCCAGGATCTGTGTTCTTGGAAGGGGATGATGATGACGGAGGTTCAAGTGAGAGGCTAGAAGGGACGGGTGTTAATGGTGGGTGCCTCCCCCCAGCTGAGCATCACCACCCTTGGGGCCGCTCTGTGAGCGTACCAGGGGACCCCACTGGATCGTCAGCCCAGGGAAGGTTGAGCTCTGATCAGATGCTAGAGAGAGATTTTGAGCCTCTTAGTGCTGCTGCCAGTGTGGATACCTTACTGGAGGAGCAGAGAGTAGTGGACAAAGGAAGACATGGAGGTAAAAAACAGAATGTAGAAGGAGAGACAAACATGAAGAAGTCAAACTCGTCCAGGAACCATTATCGGAACCGCCGTCGTAACGAGCGATTTGCTACCAACCTCCGCAATGAGATCCAGAGAAAAAAGGCCCAGCTTCAGAGTAGCCGTGGCCCAGGGGGGTTGCTCTGTAGTGGGGAAACTGTCCAGGAGGAAGAGGGTCCAGACTTCAATGAGGAGGGGCCAGATCAAGACCTGCCTGCCCAGGAAAGGAGTACCAAAGTTGCATTTGCCTCACCTGCTAATCCCCAAGATGCAAGCACCACAGCACCAGTCGAGAAATCAAACACCTCAAGTGAATCAAACCATGATGTCTCACAGATTCAGCCTCAGTCGACAACTTACGCTGAAAACAACAACTTATCCAGGTCTGTCCAGATTCTGGATCCAGGGTTGCCCAGTTTTGGTGTTGGCATTCGAGTTGTGGAGGAACCAGCTCCTGCTGGCAAAGCACGTCGCTGGCGTTGGACTCCCGAGCATAAACTGCAACCAGAACCCGAACCAGAACCACGGTGTGGAGTCAAGGGTGAGAGGGTGTTTGGAGTCACAGGGTCACGGCACGGGGTTTGTGCCTTCACCTCCTCATCTACTTCCTCATATCGCTCGTCTTCCTGTTCTCGGATGGATGAGTCAGAAATCCTTCCATTTGCAGATAGAATGAAGTTTTTTGAGGAGACGAGCAAGGGTATAAATGTCTCAAATATGTCCAGTCGCAGGCAGAAGAAACCCCCCCACCATCCAGAGCTCCAGGGAGGGGAGCTCAGTCAACACCCAAACCAAAGGAGATACTCCTACCAGGGGGGACTACAGCAGGAAAGTGCCCTGCTTACAAACACTATGGAAGCTAGGAGGCTGTCTGTGAGTACCAGCAGGGAAAGACAGAAAGAGAAGGAGAGGGAACAAGCGAGAGAAAGGGAGGAGAAGGCAAGGGAGAGGCAAGAGAGGTTGAAAGAAAGGGAGAGGCAGCAGCAGGAGAAGGAAAGACAGGAGAGGGAATTAGAAATGGAGAGGGCAAGGCAGAGGGAGATTCAGCGGGAGAGGGAACGAGAGGAGAGGATGAGACAGTGGGAGAGGGAACGGGAGAGGGAGCTTGAGTTGGCGAGAGAAAAAGAGATGGAGAGGGCCAGAGAGAAGGAACGACTCAAAAAAGAAAGAGAAAAAGAGCTTGAGAGAGAAAGAGAGAAGGAAAGGGAAGAAGATGCTCAGCTCTCATCACATCAGGAGTTTTATGGCGGTCCTGGCATCAAAGAAAACTTCCACAACCAGCCTAAACCTCAGGCGTTCTCCCATAGCCAAACCCAGAATCAAGCCCCCCGATCAGCTTTTTATCCAGTCAGTACCTCCTCACAGCCCCTGGACAACCGACAACCTCTTCACCAGGGATACACAGCGAGGAGCTACACACCTACAGAGGTAAGAGTGCCGCTCTCTCTCTCAAAAATGCATGAAAACATATCCATGAAAACATTCTTACACACCCACACACACACACACTGAATCCTATTTTAAACTTGCAATAACAAGTGCAAAGTGGTAGTTTTTGGTCGGACAGACTGTGTGGGCATCTCCAGGCGTTGTCTGGATGGTGCAGAGCCACAACACACAACGAGAAAGACACACTGCATTTATATGGGTCACGCAGGAGGCAGGGGTTGCCAGGTTAGCTCTCAGTAGTGGTCTGTTGTCTGCTGGGATCTGGATTATAAACTTGACTGTCAGGTTTATAGACAAAAAGAGACAGAGTGAAATGTGGGCTGAAAGAGTGGGTGTTAGTGATCCGGAGTGAGTTGAAGTATCGGTCACTTCACTGAGAGATGGGCTAAACACGAAGAACAGGCTATTGGTATGTCCGCTTATCACTTGGGACTCCTAAATGTATGTTGTTAGATTTCTGGATTAATCAGAACTTCTTTATTTCTATTAAAGCCACTTTGTCTATAGCATAATCATTCGAATGACCCAAGTTTGTGTTCGGTGAAGTTTAAAGAGGGTTGGTATCCTTCAACCGAAGTGCTTGTCAGTGTACCGAATAGCATCTGAAGCCTGTGAAGTTTCTGGCACTTTGACCCCCATGCTACCAGGGTGGCCCAACTTTTACGAGCACTTCTTTGAGTAATTTCCCCCTGGGATTATTAAAGTATTTCTAATTCTGATTCTGATTCTAAATGATGTTAAATAGCTTTTAAGCAGTTGATAACTGGTCCTGTGGGATGGGCTGAAGCCAACAGTATTAATAAAGGAATTTCTATATTCAAGCAACATTCACGAGACCGAGAGGCGTCAATCCTGTTGAGACATAGCGGTTCTAATTGCATCCATTAACAAGTATGTTTACAAGCCTGTTGGCCCTCAAAACCGGTCTCCAGCAACAAGCTTGCTAGTGCTAAATAACAGCCTGTGTCCCAGCAGCACTGAAACCAAGTAACGCCTTTCAGAGTGAAAGATAAACTTTGCAGCTCAGTGAAATCAGACTGCGGTTTTGGACCGAATTGAAATTACCACTGGAGACTGAAAAACTATCTTGGTTCTTTAAACCAACACCAGAAAGGGATCGAGTGGCCACACTTGGATGTCGGAGCTAAGTGGCCACTCGGTCCAAGCGCTCCGTGGTTGAACGGTTGGTTTTGAAGTTGAACCTCGCATCCTGCATGTGGTCAAAGTCTGAAATTCTCATTGAAAATTCAGCGAATCGTTGAAATAGCTCATGGAATTGAGAGAGATTGGGCAATAGCGGCGGACACTTGTGTCAGCGATAATAGCAGCGTTGGGTTACAACCTTACCACAGACTGATTCGAGTCTCTCGGTGGGGGGTTGCAGCCCCTCGTCTGAACTCTTGAAAGTCCCGTGAACTTCGACGCATTAGTAACCTCATCGTTTGACACTGAGCAAAGCCGAGCTGACATTTGTTTTGGAATGAATGCATCTTCAAATGGTTCAAGCTGACACTGTTTTGTTGTTTTCGTGGGGTTTTGCCATGCTGAGGCCTCAAGGGGAGCCCTTGAACCTCGGCTGCCTCCATGTTGGGATCCTTTTCCAAGTGAAAGGTTGTTGGTTTGATACCACAGCGGATAACCCCCGTGCACTGAATTCTTGTTTCATATCTCCTGCTGACAACTGCCAATATCTTTAATGGTAACAGATGTCCTGGATGCACTACAAGGCTGCCATAAGACTTTCTACAGAGGCGAACACATGAATATACACTCTTGAGATGGCAAATGCAGACAAACATTCAAACACATTTTAAATTAAGTGGGGAATTTGGGTTCATTCATTAAGTTGTGTGCTTTTATGTTCCAGTATGTGTGTGTGTGTGTGTGTTTTGGACTGAGGGAGGAAACCGAATGTGAAAATATAGAAATGTAACTGGCTGCTATTATTATTACTTGTGGTCTGTCTGTCAGTCGGCTCTCATTTGAGAAGCCCAGCTGTGTTTTCAGAAGTGTTAGGAAATAGTTCCGTCGAATTGTTGTTGGCAAAATTAGACTAGATTAGATTATTTTTTTACATCCACAACCTCATTATATGAACATTAAATATACACTTTGATGCAATTTGCCTTTTTCTCAAAGGACATTCGTTTTATAAAAGGTCAGTGCAGAAAACCTTTGCGTGCGTAATTCTCGTTAGACTCAAAATGAAGCACTTTCACAATTGTCTTTTATAATATTAAATTACTTGTTGGCTACATAACATTTTTAAGATTTTGGTAAGATGTTGAGACTGGACATGAAACGCTTGAACCAAACTGTCCTCTCTAGGCTTTATGTGAGAATTATGTTGTTTCCAGCTTAAAGAAAAACCTTATACTGTAAACATGCATTAATTAGTTTTATATTAAGAGTTTTAAATGTCTTAGATCAGCACGACTTCAGGTACTTCAGGCTCTTTCTTATTTAAGTATTATTATTATTACTTGTGTGCTTTGTATGCAGATATTAGGGATACACAATAATTATCGTCCTTAAATTAGATATTTCTATTATTATGAGTAATTAGGGTAATTAAACCTGTTTTGAATTCTTATCAAAAACGAGTTTTTTGATGAACTTTACCAAAAAAATTAATTCGTAGTCAGACTTGTTTGTTTTTGTTGTGTAAACAATAGTAATGTGACTTAGATTTGTTTAGAACAGAGCTATTGAGTATTAAATCATCCATCTTTGCTCACTAAATCGCAGCCTTTCTTGCCATCAAGTGTGCGTAAAGTTGTAAAGTTATGAACTTATTGTTAAAACACGAAAACGATCGGATATCTTATCGGTATCGGCCATGAGAAGCAGGTCATTATCGGTTATCGCATCGAGCATCCACAGCAGAGCTTCCGTACTTTTATTGGGTGTCTACATAGAGGAATAAACATAGTCTGACATTAATCCTTGTGGCTCCAGTTATTCACCAATAGACGCCAGAAGAACTCATAAATTACTTAACACCCCTTTAAAAGCCCAGGAGACAATGAATTTAAAAGCAGTTGGGCCATCCAGGTACTTGTGGTATAGAGTTTATTATCACAAAGTTATCAGTTGTTACCATTGTATGGGTTTTTATGCTCTGTTGACAGCAAGTGATGGCCAAATATGTTAAACTCTCATCCCACCAGTCCAATAAAAACACCGTCTGAATGTTCAGATTTACATTATAGACACTCAGAAAATATCTGTACCCCACCGGTGGCGTGTTTGTGCAGCTTATCCCCGCCTCACTGCTGCATCTCCGACCAGTAACGAGAGTGCAATGAGTTTGTTCAGCTCTCCACCGGTGGGTTAATAACCCAGCATTGTACAACACGTCCTGTATCGCCGCGATTACGGACAAAGCCTCGTATTGTTACAGGTCAGTGATTAATTTGGTTTCAGTGGGAGGTTTTAATAAAAACATCGAACCCCCGGCATTTTGAAATAATAAGAATAGTAATGACTTAACTATTGAACCTTTCAGAAAGTGAACTAGTTACTAAACTGAGTGTGAAAGTGTTGAAAGCTCTGGAAAAAAAGCAATTAACTGGAATTGTAGTTCAATTACAAAGTGCAGCTAGTTTCAGTTTGTTTCTCCTGTTTCCTGAATAATATTTATTATTAAAAAATATAAACTATGTTGTTTGTTGCTCGTTCTAATCATAATTGTAAATATTTTTCCATCCTTCATTTTAACCGCACATTAATTAATCTTCCCTCTATGTGTTACACAGAGTGTGGCCATTGTCGTGTATACATTACATGTCCTTAAAAAGTCCAATAAACAGTCTTTAAGAAAGTTAACAAAGGGACAAAAGCAGCAAACTGCATATCTCAGAATGAAATAAAACATTAATTAATCAATAAATTCAACCTTTATTTACTTCTTGGAAATACATTGAGAGAAACAAAAACAGAAATACAATATAGACAATATAAATTCAAAATAAATAACTAAATGAATAAAAATAAAGCGTTGAGTTCAACTAAAATTAAATTTAAATGGAATAAAATGCTAAAATTAAACATAAGAATTCAACAGCAGCCCAGAGGAAGATAAAGCTGAAACAATAACTCTGACAGTCAGCACCAGATTGAGGCCTTCCTTCATTCCTTTGGAGTTATTAACCGGCTTTAAATGTCTTCCACAGACGTATCCTGCCCAGCAACAGGAAACGACCAAGCTGAACAGGAAGTACAGCCTGACTGAGAGGTGAGCCACTTCCTTTAACAACCACATACCGCAAACACAGACACGTACTGTACATTCATATAAAACAAGCAGTCCTTCTGTTTTCTGATGTGATTATCGTCTATATTTCTGATTTTTCGGACGCGCACTTGCTCCATATCTGTGCGGCTGTCTCTCTCTCCGGAGACTTTAGGTGGGGTCGAAGGCCCATTGTGTACTGACGGGCAGGAAATCCCACTCAGTCATGGCTGGCTGTGATTTGACTGTAATGAGCTCTAAGTGTGCGGAGCAATCATCCATTCTTAAAATGTGACCATAATGATATGTGGTTGGATGGGGGGATTCCTGTATGTTAGGACGTAGGAGGGGTAGGAGGACATGCATGGCTTGTAAAAAAAGGGCCTCTACTCATATTTGACCTGAGACAGAAACAGTTCAGTGAGTCTAGAAGGCACAAAGGAAACATTTACTGTAATTTAACCACTTTCTCCGACTGGTTTTTGTTTCGTAACATGTGGATTTCTCTGCCTCACATCTCTGTGTACCTTCAAGGCCATGAAAACTTTATCTTTAAAACCCACGATTGATGGGATTCCTACATGAATGTGCAATTTTAAGCAAAATTTACAACTGTTTTGTTTATTTTTATTGTTAATTGTTGTGTTTTCTCTCTGGTTTTCAGTGGGTGTAGTGGGCTCTTGGTACCAATCAAAGTTGATTGCATATATTGCCATGGAAACGTCTCTAATTAAACCCCCGTTTTTTAATGTTAAACTGTTAAATTTCATTGTCCTCACTTTATTTTTGATTGTTGCTTATTTAGGTTGTTGATATTTAAAGGAATAGTTCACATAAAGCTTTCTTTACAAGATATAGAATAAAAAAGATCAATATATCTCATGTCTGTGCGTCAGGGTGATAATAGTTTTGTATTTTTAAAACTTTATTAGTTTTTAATTTTTGCTTTCAATTCAGGTTAGTTTCAGTTAGTTTCAGTTAGTTTCCAGAGTGGGTTTACTGGTGTCTGTTCAGTTATTGTTTAAAAATGTTTAGGTTTAGTTTGTTTTGCTTAGTTTCAGTATTAGTTTAAGATTTTGTATTATGTAATATTGTGCGTATCTGTCAGGGGTAAAAAGGAAAAAAAAGGAAAAGGGGGAAGTTCAGAATAAGTTTAACAAAAAATCCACAGTGACTCACAGTCATGTAGAAATCCTAGTTTCAAGACATTTCCTGTATATTTTTTATTTTAGTTCAGTTTAGTAAGTTCACAATATCGTTTCTTAGTTTTAATTTTTTATTTCGGTCAACAAAAATGTTTTTTTCACACCTACTTTTAATTTTTTGTTCAGTTGCTGTGTGTTATTACAGAGCTGGAGTCAGGATGTGGTGAGCTTAGCTTAGCTTTGCATAAAGACAAGAAACGGGGGAACAGATAGTTTGGATTTATCCAAAGTGAAAAATACACTAATTAAACAGAATTTCCTTCATTTAATCTCATTCACAAATAAAAAAAATTTAAAAACAGGCTGCAGCACAGAGTTCGGTATACTGTCGTGGCACGATGGTACCAGACCAACCTCACCGTGGCGATAAACGTCATTACACCCGGCTGCTGTTTTTATCAAGAAGAAAGTTACACTACATAACTATAGCTCAAAAAATTATAACCCAAGACCACAAATTGTTGTTTTAGAGATTCCAGTCTTTATGCTAAGCTAGGCTAACTGCACACTGGCTCCAACTCCATACGTGAGTTTTTGAGTCTTAGAAAGGTCTTACTGTCGGAAAGAACCGATCCTTCAATGTTTAATCTTTAATGTCAGATTTTAGCCTACTTTTAAGTTTTTGTTTGTTAACAAATAAATATGTTTTTTTCTGATCACAGGGACTACTCGAGCTGGAGACGTGAGTCCAGACCCCCAGAGAGCATTAATCAGTATCATCAGCAGCCCCACCCGGGTCGATGGGGCCCCCGACAGACCGACGAAGGCCGCAACGGATACGCGTACGCTCCCCCGCCGGCTCCTCTCTCCCTCCGAGGCCGAGCCATGTCTGAAAACGACCTCCGCTTCGACAGCAGCCACCGCTGGTCGCCGTCGATGTACACCAGCCAGACCCTGAGCGAGGTGGAGGAAGGAGGACGAGACGCCGCCAGCACTGCCCGGTCAAACAGGAAGAAGACGCCGCCTCCCCCGAGACCGCCTCCCCCGAAGTGGGAGCAGTTCCACCGCAGACGAGCGTCCAACCACGCCCTGTTCTTCTCCTCTTCTTCTACAACTCCTCACTCCATCCCTCCCTCCTTCGACACCCCAGAGGGCCACTATTCGACTCGGCCCTCCTCCTCGTACATCCCTCCGCACGAGACGTCCAGACAGAGGTCCTACAGTCTCCCTCCAGAGAGGCAGGAAGTGTCAGAGGGCTGCCCGCGCTGCAGCTGCGGCCAAACCCAGGAGCACTCATTTCCCCACGCCTCGTCCAATCAGAATCAAGCCCACGTGCAGGAACACCCCTTCTCCCACCACGCTCCGTCCAATCACAATCAGGTGGAATTTCAGGACCGGGCCTTCGCTGTTGCTCCGCCCAGTCCGATGTTCTCCAGGAGGGGCTTCAGACCGGTGGCTCCGCCCCAGAGAGAGCGGGACCCGAGGAGCGCGTACGGCGAACATCAGGAGAGGGTGGAGGTTTTAACGGCTCTACCGCCGCCGCCTCCGCCACCGCCAACGGACAGCAGCGTGAGCAGGTGAGGAAAGGCAGTTTGTAGCAGTCGTATTGTTATATAATGTTCGATAACGTGTCTGCATCGAGGTTATTGTAGTTAACTAAAACTAGACTTACAAATCTAAACTGTAACAATAATAATGTACAAAACTATCGTAAAAACAAAATAAAGATAAACAGGAAATGTGGTTTTAGTCTTTGTCAGTCAGTTTGTATATGTTTGTTGAGGATGTCTACTTGAGTCAGTGTGTTTGTGTTGTAATATCTAAAACTAATACTGAAACCAAACATTTTTAAACAGTAAAAACGAAACGGAACAAGTGTTAAAAGTGAAAATGACAAATTAATAATAATAATAATAACTCTGGCCTGCACATTGTTCACAACTAAACTCTTCTAAGGTGATTACAGTGGGCTAATCCTGCTTTGATAACCATGCTGGAGACCTGAAACTTACTTTTCAGACAAATAATACAGGATTTGGAAGGAAAAAAATCCTAAAAATGTCTGAGAAAACAAACAAAAAAGCATTAAAAGTATTTGAAAATGAATCAACACCAATGGAAATAATTTTTGTAGCTTTAATACAGCAAAAGAACGCATTAACTGAGCTGAAAAGCTGTTTTCCTGACCTCTTACCAAAGAAAGATTCAAGCATGCACATGTAACCAAGCCCATCGGTGATGTCACAGTGTACTGACCACACCCTGGAGTACACGTCTACATCACTGCAGAAAAGTGAGAAGTAAAATTATTGTAAAAATATTTTCATCTCATCACTTTAACATGTTTTTTGAAATGTAAACTAAATTAAATGCCTGTAGGCCAGAGGGAGCTAGAAGATCTGAGGGGTGTCATTCATCTATCTTTTTGGTCCTCAGGTGTGTCACCTGGGAGGGATCCAGCACCTGGTGGACCAGCTGGATCACAAGGTAGCTGAGGTTCAGAAGAGCGCCTGCGGGGCTCTGAGGAACCTGGTGTACGGCAAGGCCACCGACAACAACAAGGTGGCGCTGAGGAACTGCGGTGGCGTGCCGGCCCTGCTGCGCCTCCTCAGGAAAACAACCGACAACGAAGTCCGTGAGCTGGTCACTGGTACGTTTAGTTCGGTTTACATTCAGTGCTTCTCACCAAATTGCATTGTGGGTATCCTCGACATGTAACAAATGTATGTTAAATGCATTTCCTTTCTCGTCACAACATTTCCAAAGGTGATTTTAAAACTAATATCATTTCTCAAGTGCCTCCGTTGGTGCATTGTGTTTCCTTTCACCAACGGCAGGAACTACTAAAGCTGTCTGAATTAGGTATTTTAAAAATACAAAGGTGGAGAAAGTTTGCATTTACATCAAAATACACACAGTTATAGAGAATCATAAGATATGTGTCGGCTGTCTTTCAGCTTAGTTTATGAGAAAATAGTAGAAATACTTTAAAAAAGCCCCTTCAAATGTCCTCGATGGTACCTGGATTCTGTCACTACGGCCGTGGCCAAACATCCGTGGCAAAAGTACAAAAAAAAAATCCAGCTGGTCAGATAAAGATCGGAAGTTTCCAGTGTGCGAACTAGCTTGCACCTGCCTCCAAGAGCCGAAGGTCAAAGGTCAGACTGTGACTTACAGTATGCTGACTACAAAACAGAGAAAGGGATAATGGTGATTCGTCATGTAGATTGAGTGGGACTAAGAAAGTTTGTTTTTTCTGATCTTTGAGTTTAAGTGATTCATTTTTTATTAAAGATTGAGTGACGCTTCCCCATGATGATGAAGATACAAAAAAAAATAGAAATTCATGGAAGAAATTTGGATGTCTGCTCATTTCTTATAAGAGTCCCCTGTAGTTCTCACCCTGGGAGTATCCTCTTTGTTCGGTAGCTGTCAACTCAGGTCGGTCTTTTTATTCCTAAAGGCGAAAAAAATTAAGGTGAAAGCACCAGTTTCCAAATGCAAAACATGACACATTGAAATCCCGCTGCGATGTGTGTGGGCGCTCGCCTGCATGCAAGGTTTGTTGGCTAGCCGGGTTGCTGGCTGAGAGTCGGTCTGTGTCGCCGTCTGACTGGCTGGCTGTGTATTAATCTGTGTATCGGCTGTTCTGTGGGAGGTGAGAGTGGCAGAGGCTTAAACACTCAGCGCGCTGTGTTGACAGCAGATCTAGGCACAGTCCTCGGGACAGATGCTAAGATAATGTGCTTTGGAAACAGGATGCCGCTGACAGCTCTGCAGCCACACCACACATACTGTTTAATACCAGGAGATAGAAAACTGCTAGATGGCTTGGATTCTTGAGGAAAACACAGGGGAGAGTCTTCAGTTTGTGATTAAGTTCTGGGAAAGTTTTTATTTTTACAGCATTATTATAGTTGTACTGTCCAGTTTGTTTATTTCTAATCTAACACATCCCTACATAAACCAAGTTACCAAGTGTGAACCTATCCTGACGTCACCCTTTGGTACCATTTTGAAGCCTCCAGTTGGCATTATGACCATCGCCATGTTGTTTTTTTGCAGCCAGGGACGGTGACGTACTGTAACCTGAGCTGCACAGGAAACAATGGTGGCTCGGCCTTGACAGAATCTTGATTCATATATGATCAGCACTGCCTAGTTTGACAGTTTGATGTGAGTTTTTAAGGTAAAGCATACCCTGCTTTATGGTCTGTTTTACTCTAAATGGGACCATAATTTATTAAATGAACATCATGCTGTGTTGAAAAGGACTTGAAACTAGATATTGAGACTATAAACTAATTAGGAAACTGTTTACTGAGCTCATAAATCAAGTGAGACGTAAGGCCAGTTCCCCATAGGACTCAATACTATCAGATTTCTTTTTGAAGCCCATGCTGGCCATTAGAAAAAATGCAGGTTTAAGTCACTTAAATAGTTGACTTCACTTCACAGACCCAGAAGCTCTGTCCAAAAAGAAAAGTCTTAAAGAAAAAAGATGAGCAAAAAAGCCGAAGGAGTCTTCTGGCACCCTTCACAGCAAATGTACTTCTCCTTTACACTTTGTGATATAAACTAATGTGTGCTTATTCATAGATTTTGTATCTTGCAGGGTGAAGGCTGTAACACTGTTGTGGTTTGATTTACACCCACGCTGCTTTGGAAGCTCCTATGAAGTTTTTATGTGTTATCTTCATCAGAGTCTTATTTTGCCCTCATTGTCAAAGCTTTGTTTTTTATTATTACATCCAATCCAATCCAATCCAC